CTCTTCCTTTGGCGGCGTCGTTGAATCGATTGGTTTTTCGTCGATTTCTTCTTCTGTTTCGATGATAGTTACTTGATCTTCTTCCAACGGTTTCTTTTCTTCCTCTTCCGTAGCAGTTAATTCATCAGTTTGTTTTTTCGTTTCGACAACTGTTGTTATGATTGTTTTTGTTTCTTTAATAATTGTGGTCTCACCTGTAATTTCTGATTCAACTGCAGGCTGTTCAACTGTCTCTGTCGTGACAATTATTTTTTTCGGTTTTAGTTCTTCGACGTCTTCTTCTTCTTCTTTCTCGGTCGTGATTTTCACAAAGATTTCTTTGTCTTCTTTATCAACGCTAGTTTCATCTTCCTTTGGCAGCGTCGTTGAATCGATTGGTTTTTCGTCGATTTCTTCTTCTGCTTCGATGATAGTTACTTGATCTTCTTCCAACGGTTTCTTTTCTTCCTCTTCAGTAGCAGTTTGTTTTTTCGTTTCGACAACTGTTGTTATGATTGTTTTTGTTTCTTTAATAATTGTGGTCTCACCTGTAATTTCTGATTCAACTGCAGGCTGTTCAACTGTCTCTGTCGTGACAATTATTTTCTTCGGTTTTAGTTCTTCGACGTCTTCTTCTGCTTCTTTCTCGGTCGTGATTTTCACAAAAATTTCTTTGTCTTCTTTATCAACGCTAGTTTCATCTTCCTTCGGCGGCGTCGATGAATCGATTGGTTTTTCGTCGATTTCTTCTTCTGTTTCGATTATAGTTACTTGATCTTCTTCCAACGGTTTCTTTTCTTCCTCTTCAGTGGTAGTTAATTCATCAGTTTGTTTTTTCGTTTCGACAACTGTTGTTATGATTGTTTTTGTTTCTTTAATAATTGTGGTCTCACCTGTAATTTCTGATTCAACTGCAGGCTGTTCAACTGTCTCTGTCGTGACAATTATTTTCTTCGGTTTTAGTTCTTCGACGTCTTTTTCTTCTTCTTTCTCGGTCGTGATTTTCACAAAGATTTCTTTGTCTTCTTTATCAACGCTAGTTTCATCTTCCTTTGGCGGCGTCGTTGAATCGATTGGTTTTTCGTCGATTTCTTCTTCTGTTTCGATTATAGTTACTTGATCTTCTTCCAACGGTTTCTTTTCTTCCTCTTCAGTGGCAGTTAATTCATCAGTTTGTTTTTTCGTTTCGACAACTGTTGTTATGATTGTTTTTGTTTCTTTAATAATTGTGGTCTCACCTGTAATTTCTGATTCAACTGCAGGCTGTTCAACTGTCTTTGTCGAGACAATTATTTCTTTCGGTTTTAGTTTTTCGACATCTTCTTCTTTCTCGGTCGTGATTTTCACAAATATTTCTTTGTCTTCTCTATCAACGCTTGTTTCATCTTCCTTTGGCGGCGTCGTTGAATCGATTGGTTTTTCTTTGATTATAGTAACTATGTCTTCTTCCAACGTTTTTTTTTCGTCTTTTTTAGCAATAAGCTCTTCAGTCTGTTTTTTCGTTTCGATATCTGTTGTGATAATTGTTTTTGTTTCTTTGATAATTGTGGTTTCACCTGTTATTTCTGTACCAACGGTTGTCTGTTTATTTGTTTCTGTCGTAACAACTGTTTCCTCAGGTTTTGGTTTTTTGATATTTTCTTCATCTTTTTTTTTGGTCGTTATTGTCACAACTTTTTCTTTGTCTTCTTTATCAGCGCTAGTTTTTTTATCTTCAGCCGGCGTCATTGGGTCGATTTTTTTTTTGTCGATTTCTTCTGTTTCAATTAGAGTTACCTTATATTTTTCAAACGGTTTCTGTTTTTTTTCAGCAGTTATTTCATCATCTTTTTTTTTGGTTTCGACGCTTGTTGTAATAATTGTTTTTGTTTCTTCGATAATTTTCGTCTCGTGTGTTTCCTCTGATTCAACTGTGGGTACCTTATCTATTACTGTCTCGTTGATGGTTAATGACGGTCTCGTTTTTTTTTCGGCATCTGCTTCTTTTATGTCTTTTGTAACTGTTGGAATAGTTTTTTTTTCTTCTGTTTTACTTACAAAGGTTTCACTGGTTGTCGGTGGAATTAGTCCTTCTATATTTGTCATTTGTTTTGTCGGTTCAGTTGTTTTCTGTCTTTCTATTTCACTTTTTGTTGTAATGTTTGTTATGTCATTTGTGGTTTTTTTTGAAATGTTCATTGCTTGAATGTGTTTTTCATTTTGCTCACTATCATGTACATTTTCTTCTTTTTTCAATATGGTTTCTATTATGGTTGATTTAGTTAATGTACTGTTGTTGATTTCGCTTTCTTTGATTTCTGATATATTCGGAATCTTTATTGTTGTTAAACTTTTTTTCATATCGATATAGTTCAAACTATCGTCATTTTCATCTCCGTTCGTATAGTAATAGTAATAATAATTATAGTCTTTGGGGCTGGTTGTAGTCTGGGTTTTTTCTTTTAGCCATTTCATGGTTGTGGAATAGAATTGGTACTGGATATCTGTTTGTTGAACGTTATACGTTTTAAAATTATGTAATTTTTGTTATTCAGGTTTTTTACTCATTGTTTTAACATCAACTATGATTGTTCTAACTTTCCATATTTTCAGATTGTTCGTAGAAGATTGGACAACTCGTATGTAATATATATGGACATTTATTAGTTATTTGATAATGCGTAAGCCAAACGATCACGTAAAAAACTTGACAAATTATGTTTAAACGAAAACTTGCTAAATTTTTTATCCAAATGCCTACCCGAAAGGACAGCAATTGGATATCGTTTGAACTTATTCAAACTTAGCGTTACAAGCGGAGTATCTCAAGGCTCGTTTTGAAGTAACTTTTTCATTATGTTCACTGATAATATTGAAAGCATTTGTTCATAAAAGCTGGAGTTCACCAGGCAATGTATTAAAGCAGCAAATTAACGAATAATGGGTTCTTATTTGGAAATAGAAATCTGAGATGCATCAATAAAGCTTAAGCTGCCCATGATGTTATTGTGGCCAAAGCTGGAATATTTTATTTATAAAGATTTGCAAGCGTAAAACCAAAAAACACTTTTCTTAGATTAATCGGGATTCGGTTAAAAGGCAGAGAGTCTTCCACAGCTTCAATTTCTTCTGAGCCAGTTCAAGCTCTGTTAAACTACTTTATGAAATCTTTACATCATTATAATTATGTATTGTATAATATTTCATGTCAAATAGCTTAGATTAAACAATAAGCTTGCTTGTGATAATGACTCAGGCCAATTTTTTGCATTTGCTCGGTAAGATCCTATCTAGAATATGTCGTTCAAATCAGAAACTCGCATGAAAAAAATTGCATTTATTTAATAGAAAAAGCAAAGTGCACTTGAAAATGCGAAGAAAAAGTGCTGGTTCTATTTTGATGTTTAAAAAGCTTAAGACTTAATATGAAAATGAACAGCCAATCTCCCAATTAGATAAAAAAGGCCAGAATATAAAGTTAACCAGTGTGTCTCATGAAAACATTAGAACTCTTTTCCATAGATGTGAAGTCAAAAAATTTGAAGTTTATAAAAGTTAATAAGGTTCAAACTAAAATAAAGTTCAACAAATTTCGAAATGCGACCACTTTAACTTTAATGCTAGCCAACATGGTAGACTTATACGGTTAATGATGTGAGTCTGTAATCAATTGTTTAATATGAACTCTATTCAATTCAATTAATTAGAGTTGAGCCAGTGATGAGCGTCGAATATTGTAACTTGCCATCCGAGTCCAGCATGCTGCTGACACTGCTGCGTGCTTCAAATATTTTTGCTTGCGTTTTTGTAGTGATCATTTAAACATGAACTTTATGAACCGCAAGGCCTCGAAAACAAAGTCCAAAAAGTTCAAGAGAATAATAAATTTCAAAAAGTTCTAACGTCACATCTACGCATTTTTCATCAATAAGTTAATTACGGATTCAAATGGGTTCCGCCTCATATTGTCTTAAATCTGGTTTTGACTGTTGCTTTTTGCGAATATAAAATTTTGTTTCTTTAATTATTAAATAATGACCTCGTCATATTTCACTATTTTAATTTTTCATAATTGTTTTTTTATGCCACGCATACTTCAACATACCGTCGCATCTCCTCAAGCAGTAGTTTTTTAATTTCCTTTCATCTGCTTCACTGTTAACGAAGAATTCCTCTAATTCTCCCTGCAATCACAATTGTTTTATTTTATTTTTTAAATTCTTCAAAAACAATATAGCTTATTCTTATCTTCAATAAACATTTTGTAACATTTGCATCAACATTTAAAAATATATGACCTGTTTTTTCTGAATTTTTACGTTAAAAAAAGTTTACTCGCTTTTCTGATAAAAATCTTACTCTACTCTCTGCACTTGATTTTTTCTGATCATAATATTTTTCATCTGTCTATGGACACATTTTTATTTTATTCGTAATCATCGGTTTATTTTTTCGTAGTCATTTTTTATCAGTTTATTTGAAAAATTGTTTTCATTATATTGAATAAAACAATTTAAAAAAAGCAACTCTACTTACAATGGTTTTATCGCGTCCAAAAAATCCCCCAAATTGGTAAGAGCCGTCAATATGAAGCGGATTAGTTATTCGGAAACTGCGTGTCTTGACCGACACCTCGTCAACCAAGGTGCAGTTTACATAAAAGGATACATTATTGTTGCTGAAGATGACGAAGGCTGTATGGAAACTGTGGAGTAATGATTTATCTTTCCACATGCATGCAGTATATATATATATATATATATATATATATATATATATATATATATATATATATACTCTACTTTGTTGATCCTTTATTGTTCATAGTGCTTAACTTAACGCTTAACGCTCATTTAATTAGTTTTATAATCTTCGATATATATATATATATATATATATATATATATATATATCGAGAATATTAAAAAAAATGTAATCCAATGAAAAAAATAAAACATACAAATGAACAAAAAATATTTAAATAAACACAATAACGTGCTAATAAATTTTTTCTTATATCAAAATCATTTCTATCACCGACGCATCATTGTCAGAAAAATTTTCCTTAAAAATAGCATCGTGTTTGTTGTCTCAATTGGCAATATTTTGGGAAATAAACATGGTTTTATGCCTGTGAAACTGTTCCCTACTAGCTTCCCCGCCTACATTAACATTGGAACATTTGAATTTTAATTTATCAGACATTAACACCGAGCGTGTAAATGGAGAAACTAGTTTTTCAGAATGTGTCAACACGTGTGGTGCTTGAATGTTTACAAGTTTTACATGTTTTTATTATATATATGCAAGATGTAGCGTGTGCTTGTTTCTACGAGTATGTTCGTGTGTGGTTCAAAGATTAATCCAATTTGTATTGGATTCAAGTTTGTTTGTTTGGCTATTGACTGGGATGTAATATTACAAGGTTTTATGCTGGGTTTGAGACAAGTGTAGATAACCACGGTCACAAGTTATAAAAGACTCCGGCCGCATTTGTGCTTGTAAATCCGATTCCAGCTTAATTTGAAAAAGTCAACTTCAGAACTGCCCTAGAATTAATATAATTGATTGAATTTTTTATTGATTTGTAGGCAGCGTTGGTTAAAGTTGGTTAAAAAGAAAGTTAAAGGTTGCTGCAATGTGTTCCTAGGTTCAGAAGAATGAACAACACTCAAACGTCGCGTATGAGTACGTGCTAAACAACGCATCACACTCGAAGCATGTGATAGGCGGGAATCTTTTGGTCGTACTCGAACCGTGTCACTGCAGGCAAGCGCGAAACAGCACTAGGCGACCTTGACCACTAGGCCATCGATGTGCCTGATAGTTTTACTGTTATGTGCCTTACTTAGTTTACATGTTTATGAACTCTAATTAAAATGAAAACTGTTTAAATGACGAATGAAATCTGTTTAAAATTATGAGAAACACTAACTGATCGTTATTCAGCGGAACTGGGGTGGGTTTATTATTTCTGACTATTTTAGGCCTTCCTCTATCGTTGAACATTACGGAAATTCTATTCGGGGAATCGTATTTCACTTGTAAAACTTTTTTCGAACGCCTGTCCATGCCAACAAACAATGAATTTTTAGAACGGGTTGTCTTGAATGACCAAAATATTGCAAAGTTGCCTTCCACTTCTGTGCCATTCATTTTCCTGTCTGAAAATTGTAATATCGAATCAGGTTAAAAGTTACTATTGTTTAGAATAAAAAAAACTACATGCTTCCAAGTCAATTTGCTTACTAAAATATGTATTTCGTTCAAGAAACAATAATGTAACAGTTTTACAATCCAAGCATCAAAGAAGCAAACCTGTTAATATTGAATACTCTGTTTTACATTTGGCGTGATCCGGCTTACATTTCACGTAGCTTTTTTCAGTAAATTGGTATGGATATCCACAAGTACCGCCATAATTGTAATAACCAATGTTGTTCTCTGGGTTTTTGGCGGGCTGGCAATTTTCCAGCACGTCGTAAATATCTTTGAAAAAAAATTGTTTGATTAAGTTTAATTATTCTTCCATGTCTTATATAAATGCATTGACCACTTTCCATTTTTTCGCATCGTTTACTTCATTCTACAGCTTGACATGTAAGTGTTGAGAAAAAAGTATTGATTATAAATATTTAATGCTTATTATTTAAAGACTTGCTAATGCTAAAACTCATCAAGAACTTGCTACTGTTGAATGTTACGTATGCATGTAAGTTGCAGGGCTAGAGTAGAAACTAATGAGCGGTGCTAATGTTAGCAAGAGAGAAATGATGTTGACATTGGTGTTAACATTTTTAACATTTATACTGAGTGCTTCTAGAAACTTTCGATAAAACAATTGCCTTCAATTTATAGTGAATATATCGTGAGAATATAATTTAATTTTTTAAATGGATTTCATTTATATTTCGTTTGAATTTTTTTTTTAAAATGACAACAAAGAAAGAAAAAGACAAACTTCTTGGCCCGATGAGTAATTTTCTTTGCCATGTGAATCCATCGTTAAGTCGACTGAAGCACATAAAAATAACCAACAATCCGATAAATTGACTACTCCTGTTTAAAAACAAGACTGCCATTTCAGGATGGCAATTGTGACGAACGAAAAAATTATATCATCCAATAACTAAAAAGGTATCTCATCAAGCTCTCAAATGGTTAACTGAATTCTATGTGGCAGCAAAATTAATGCCGCTGCAGATGACAACTGCCTTTATATAACTGGGAAAGCTTGCTTCTCACTGGTTGACTGGCTCACCCCTAATAGCAAAATACTTTTTGGTGAAACTTCCTCCTTATAAAACTTCAATTATATATATATATATACTTTTAAAACTTCAAATATGTATATATAAATATGATATGTATATATATATATAATGTATATATATATATAATGTATATATATATAATGTATATATATATATATAATGTATATATATATATATATAATGTATATATATATATATATATATATATATGTGTGTGTGTGTGTGTGTGTGTGTGTGTGTGTGTGTGTGTGTGTGTGTGTGTGTGTGTGTGTATGTGCGTTAATTAATTTTGTAAATGTATGCATATATGTATAAAATATAAATATATATATATGTATGTATATATATATATATATATATACATTTTTATATATTCGAATGTACGCACACGCATTAAAATTTATTTATTGTTTAAACGTTCAAGACAGATGTAAGGAGACATTAAGTGTTGAAATAATCCGATGACATTCGTTCGCGCAAAGTTTCAATTTTATAAATTAATAAACACTTTTCATCTTGCACAATGTATTATGTTTATAAGGGCATGGTTTGTCGCACGATTATATACTAATTTAATTTGTGGATTTGTGTTTTTTAATGTTTATGGGCTAGTTTATTTTAATTAATTTTTAAATTTTAATTTTGAAAATATTACATTGATGTAAAACTCGTCTCTATAGCCAAGAATTCCCTTGTATTGCATCCCTTTATTTTTGCGGTGTTAATGTCAGTCAAACACATTGTTGAAAACTACGTTACTAGCGCGTCTAACTGTCTAAAGTTGCGTGAACAATAGCAGTAATAACATTAATAGGAGAACTCCAGCTGATGTATAACCATTTGCTCTGGCTTAGCCTCAGTCAGGCACGGGCTGGATGAATGTTGCAATAAAAAATACAGTGTGAACCATTCATCACGTAGCTACGGCGACGGTGACAATCTACGTTAATTATGGGACCGTTACTTTAAATTAATTTATTTACTTTTTATGGCTATAAATTGCCTCTCCACTTTTAAAATATTAACTTCTTTTTACTTAAAATAATTTCTGAAACGAATTTTTATCTTAAATGAGTTTGGCTAACTAATACATTGATAAATAAATTTAGAATTTACCTACGTGTTGTATAAAAATTGCAACATTAAATCAACTAAGTCTGACAGACACGTCCTATTTTATTTGCAAACGATGTTAATTTGGCTCGTTGAAATGATTCCGAAATAAAAAGTTGAGACATACATTTAAATCAAAATGTACGTAAATAATAGTCAACAACGTGACTGATCTACAAATAATTTTTAGATTTCATTATTCTGATTAATAAATTACTAAGTATGCCAGTGTAAATTAAAGTTTATTTATGGCCGGTTGGAAAGGTCTGAAAAAAGAGTGAGTCGTGAAGAGCGTTGATGTCTCCGAAATGGAGCATCTTGTTGTCTGCAGATTTACTAACCATCTCATTTCATCATCACTGATTGTAAAATAATATCGGATGTATTTATACTTTCACAATTCAGTGTTTGAATGTAGTTTAATTAATTAATTTAATTTAATTAACCAAATTTTCAACAAGTTAACGAAGCCGGGATTTACTAAATTTATGCAAAAGTTTGGCATTAAGAACCAAACATGCTGAAACTGTTTTATTCCAATTTTCGAAAGTTTCAAAGAAACAGGACTTTTAAAAATTCGTAGTTTTAAATAATTTATTCAAAAATTAGTAAATGTTTTTTTAAATGATTTATTGTTTGTTATTTGACAAGTTTAACAATATTCTCATCATAACGAGTTGGTGGGTGTAACTTGAAAATGAATTTTTATGGCTAATGTTGACGTTTGTGTTTGTACAACTTCATTCATTCATTCATTCATTCATTCATTCATTCATTCATTCATTCATTCATTCATTCATTCATTCATTCATTCATTCATATTCATTCATTCATTCATTCATTCATTCATTCATTCATTCATTCATTCATTCATTCATTCATTCATTCATTCATTCATTCATTCATTCATTCATTCTCTATCCTCGTACTCATCATCACTCAAATGTCTAATGCATTTAATTAAAAAAAATCATCAAAACTAGTTGAGACGAAATCGCAGATTGAAATTGAGATTTGATATTTAATTGCAAATTATATTTGTAATTACAATAAAATGTTAATAACAAAATTGTAGGGGTTCGAATCAAAATTATACAAAAACCAAATACATTCTTCAATATCATTCATACATCTGAATCTAGGTGCATTTAGCGCGAAGAATGTATGGCCACTTTGATATTTTCTCATTTTATTTTCTGTTTTTACAGTCTGTCTGTGTGAGTGAGATTTTGGGCTCGAAAGATATAAAATAAAATATAAATGACACTGCCCTTTTTTCCTATGCTGGAATGGTCAAGTTTTACAAGGGATGGTGTCCATTCTGCAGTGCGTACATTTAAATGGAATAAAAAAAACAATGCTTGCTTAAGGTCATAAAAAATTTGTCAAAAATTCAGCAAGAGGTAACAAAAAGTAATTATTATTCCTCTGAAGACCTTGTTAACCCTGCTCTTTCACATCTGCTGAACTTCAAAGCGCTGAATCATCAGTCGGTTGGAGTCTTTTGAAAATTCATTTCGGAGTATCAAATATCGAGAGGCGTTACGTAAGCAACATGTGTTGTCATGTAGACAATGATACACGTATTATATGTATGATTTGGATTGTAAAGGTGTGTGTGTATGTGTGTGTGTTTGTGTGTGTTTGTGTGTGTGTGTGTAACTCACATACACTCTTCTAATGTATGTGAGTGCGTTTGAGTGTTTAAATGGCGTTTGAGTGTTTAAATGTTGCAAGCTTTATTGCTGCGAGAGTAAGTATTAATTTTTATAATTTTTTTAAGAAAGATTACTAGCTCGCTGAAGTCACATTACATAAGGTTAACCTTTACCCTCATTCATGTTATTTATACGTGGCCGTGTCGTACTGCTATATTTTATTATCCTCTGCGTTTGTCGCTAATCTATTTATTTATTTATTTATTATTATTGCTATTTTTCAACCCAACATTGTTTCGTTTTTAATAATAACAATGGTAATAATAATAACAACAACAACAATAATAATAATAATAATAATAGTGATAATAATTTTATTATTATATTTGGTGTTTATGTAGAAAATTTATATACAGCATGTTGTTTGTTTTTTCAGTTTTATGTGACAAACGTTACATTAAGCTGTTGATGTTACCTATCCTATGTTAATATTATTTTGCTAGTTCGTCTGCATTCATATTCACTGTTCTAAGCCTTTTAAAACCATTGCTTTAGTTTCCTAAATAAAATTGTTATTCTTTTTTTGCTATTTTACTGTGTTAAGGTCGTAGTAATAATAATTATTATTATTAGTGTGTTGTTGTTGATGTTGTTGCTGTTGTTGTGTTGTTGTTGTTGATGTTGTCGCTGTTGTTGTTTTTTTTATTGTTCTTAACAGTTAAATTTTTCTTTTGGACACTTCCCATAAATTATTTTATTAAAGCGGAATAAAATTACTACTACTATTATCAGCTCCTAACTCTCCTTATGTCTCTCACTAATAAAAATAATAGTTATTATTATTATTATTTTATTATTATTATTGTTGTTGTTGTTGTCGTTTGCATTTTTATACAAGCCTGATGAAATCACATCACCTCATTAGTTTGTTTTCATTATTTAATTTTCAAATGATTTTATAGCCAGCTGACGGTGCCTCGTGATGATGATGATGATGATGATGATGATGATGATGATGAGGATGAGGATGGCGATGATGATGATGATGAGGATGAGGATGGCGATGATGATGATAATGACGATGATGATGAGACAGACAGGCAAACAGACTTAGACAGACCAAAAAAAAAAATTTTTTTGTCAGTTCAGGTCGGCGTGTTATCAGTTAAATTTTATTAACTCTATTGTGAGTATTAAAACATCACACAGACGTCATTAAATCACTTTTTAGTGTCATAGCTTTATAGTAGAAAAGAAAAATAAACGAAGAAAAACCATTACTTCGGCGTATGAATGAAAATGTGGTAACTTTTTAACCCTTTGTTAAGACTTTTTGCCAACTTTTCATAACCTATGACATTCTATTTTAATTAAAAATTACACCTCTCTGGCACTCTATGCACCTCTTGCCTTTTAGTGAATAATGATTTTCGAATGGCTTCTATTTAACAAAAATTTAATCAAATTTTTTTCCAGTTAAAGTTATTTTTTTAGTTATTCTTTACTTTTGCCGATTTTATTTTACTAATATTATTTTTTTATTAAATATGTGACTCCTCTGTAAATTACACGTTTCACAACTCGAAAATGTCGTTCCTTTGTTCATATTCATCATTTTCCTCGTCTTTTTACTGAACTAATGTAATGAAAATTTATGCTTAAAATTATTAAGAGATAATAAAATGAACGGCTTATGGTTCATAAAGTTTAAAGTTAACTTTCGTTTGTTATTAAAAGATCTTTTGTTGTAGTTGTTTAAAACTAGGTAGATAGGTAGGTAGGTAGGTAGGTAGGTAGGTAGGTAGGTAGGTAGGTAGGTAGGTAGGTAGGTAGGTAGGTAGGTAGGTAGGTAGGTAGGTAGGTAGGTAGGTAGGTAGGTAGGTAGGTAGGTAGGTAGGTAGGTAGGTAGGTAGGTAGGTAGGTAGGTTAGGTACGTGTTCTATTCTTTGAAAAATTATAAAAATGGGTCAAGCTACTAATATGGCAGCGTACAACAACATATGACGCATGTATATAATTTACTGTATATAAGAGTGTTTATAGATAAGTGATGTCTGAGCGGTAAAATGTTCAAACTTTTTTAAAACGAACCATCAGTCTATTGCGTCATTCGCATTAGTGAGGATGGTTATGATATTAACAGACCACGTGGAAGTACTAATGACAATGTATTTTCGCTGTCGTGTCCTGGTACAATTTAATGTCAGTGAGGCGTGGTGACCGGGTTCGACTGCACTGTCACTCCACCGTCTGGTACGCAGAAAATGAAATTCAGTATAGTGTAACTTGTCTTCAAATTAAAATTGCGCTCGTGTTTGGCTAACATTTAAAAGAGATACGCTTAATTTTTTAATTTTTATTATTTATCGGATTACAAAATGCGATGTTGGATTTAAAAATGAACCGATGTTGTAGTCTACACAAATATTTGTTTCCGTTCTTTATCAAAGATTTAATTTTAATAGCGTTTTACCGAACGCGATTACATGGAGGATCTTTTATTTGATAACTTTTTTCGATTAAAAGAAAAAATGAAATAACACCAGATAAAACCTCGTTAAGAAATTGTTATTTGTTTCCAGGGTTCAAACTCGATCGTATTTTTTGTAGTGCGCAGCTCAGTGGAGAAGAACCAACTCTCTCTCTCTCTCTCTCTCTCTCTCTCTCTCTCTCTCTCTCTCTCTCTCTCTCTCTCTCTCTCTCTGACGAAATGTTGAAGGCTGTTATCGAAAATAAGCTGCAGCAAACTTTCCACGGTTTTGATGTTCGTTGTTGCCTGATTAGAACTCAGTAGCGTCAATATGCAAAGCGTTACGTTCCTTTGGGGATTAGTTTTTTTTGTAGAATGTGTTTGTCTGACAAACTTATTACGTCATTTTTGACGACATCAATATAGTCAAAACATTTTTCGGCTTATTCCTCCAAAGGCACTTCAAAACTTTCAGTGCGACGATCAATTTCAGTTTTGAGGAGGTCACGTTATAGTCCTGAAAAAAGAAGAAGGGTTGAAGAGCGGCCTAAAACACCAGAATGATAAAAATATCGATAAATAAACTTTTTAAAAAAAATTTTAACTCTATGAAGTTATATTAAATATTTTGCTGTAACCGCATTTTTTAATGTTAAAAACCGCGGTTGATGCGTTGTTTTAGCAGATCTCTAGTCGTTCAAGCAAGAGACGGATTCATTAAGCTCTTAGTGGTTTACTCAAATCAAGTTTGCTATTTTTGTTTACATTTATTTCAAAAAACTCAAAGTATCAAAGCAAGGACTAAAGTCGGAAAAACAAAAATTACAGAGACAACTGCCATCAGTTTCAGGATTTCAATAGAATGGACTCGACCAAGTGGCCAAGGCAGACATGGATCTGCTCTGTAGAAATGATCTGTTTTTACTGTAGATCATTCAAGTATGGCAATTCGAAACTTAATTTTGTAAAAATCAAGTTTGCAATTTTTGTTCACATTTATTTCAGTTTATCAAAACAAATTTACTTTCATTGTTTCATACACGATCCTTAATTTGAAAAAATCAATAAAATAACAAAATTAAGAATTTATTTCAATCGTTGCCTAAATTTTGTAACAAGCTATGGAATTAAAAAATTTACTACTACAGCACACACACGCACACAGACGCACACGCACAAACTTTGTGTGAGTGTAAGATGACGAGACATTACATATTGTCACTCAAAATTCATCGTCCGATTGAAAGCACTCACAGTCGTCATGTAGTACCCACAGTATGCCAAACAAAGGATGAACCAAGATTGCAAAGTGTGCAAACATTTAGTTAATTTAATTATGAATGAACAAAACTTAGAAGTGATGATAACGTAATTAAGCGGCTCGTCAAATACGACACACATCTGTAACACACATCCATCACATACGAACATTGCACGAACATTGCATACACGCATCAGAAAAAGCACAAATAGGCCCATAAATCACACACACACACACAGACAAACTCACATGTATCACATACACACAAACAAACACACATTTATCACATACACATATGTATCACATACACATATGTATCACATACACACACACACACAAACATCATGCAGACATCATCGCATAGGCGAACAAACGTATGCAGCGTTCGAGTCAACTGTCGACCTAATTTAGACAAAGTTAATTCATTTTATGTAACGTTAAAAATGTATCCAACGTGCTAATTGGATTAATGAAGGAATGAGCAGATTCATAAAGACTCATGTACAACAAGCTGCAAACTTCATCAAGCCTTTAAAAGGTCAACACATGCTAATGCAGTTAACTATAGGACGATATTTATGCCGTGTCTCAGTGTGGATTTTATAAAAAAAAAAATAGTCACACATGTTAGCAAATTTAAAAATTATTGTAGCAAACATTCCTCAAAGTATCAGCCAGCAAGTGGCAATACTCAGACAATTCAACACACCTCAACTAACAAAATTTTATCTCTATTTTATGCTTACATTCGTGTTCATGCGCTGAATCACGTTGATTAGTCAAAATAACTATTCTAAACAACATCCTTCAATAAAAAAAGTTAGTAAATATTTAATACGATTTAATTTTGATATAAGATAATTGAATTGAGATGAAAAATTTATTAACGCTTAAAGAGATAAAAATCAAAAATCAAAAATTTTAAAAAGTCCATAAATCCACATAGGCACGCACACACACACCAACACCACACACACACACACAACACACACACATAAACACTCCGTCATCTGACATCCCAAAATCAATGCATTCAAGCGAGGCATCTCAACATTTTAATGGAATCATCGTGGTTGTGGAATGTGATTTAACATGACTAAATGTTAGCGCGTTGTTAAAGTACGGTATTTATCAATTTTCCCATAAAAGCAGAGCATGAATGTTTTTCCAGCCATCTGGAAAAGAATCATGTTAATGCAGTGCCGATTGCGATTATCTTCTTTCTTCATTCCCGTTCCATATCCTTTCAGGACATTGGCGACCATCGACCTCCACAAAACCCGATCTTTAACACTTTGTAGTAATTGAAATGTGGTAATATTCAACAAGTGACACAAGTGACTTCACGAATGTTATTTGTTGTTGACCGCAATTTCTTTTCCCTGCAATCTTTCCAGTAGTTGTTAGATTTTCCATTTTTTCTTTCCGCATGATGTGACCAAAAACCTTAAACAGCCCCCGTCTGATTATCTGTAGTAATTTCCTCTTTTCATAACCGGACTGTTTTAATAAATCCTTATTCGAAGTATGAGAGGTTAAACTAATTTTCATAATTCTTTTCTAAATCCCCATTTCGGCAGCGTTAATCATTTTTTTCCATTTCTTTAGAAATTGTCCAGGACTCAGAGCCGTAAGTTAGCACAGGAAAAATGTAACACCCCAACAGTTTTAATTTTGTTGATATTCTATAAAATTTTGTTGATTTGTACATCTTAGTGATTCCAAGATTCCATTTTTTTTCATTTCGAAAAGAGAAGATTTTCAGTTAGAGCAGCTCAAATTTAGAATGCGTTGCCTGACGATGTAAAAAAACATTCAACATCTAGGTTGTTGTGACTTTAAGAAATGGCTGAAAAATCATCTGTTCAGGCTTCAATAGCAAAGAAAATGAAAAGCTCTCTTCTGAAGTGCTGTACAGTTTTAGCAATATGATACAGTACAACAATTTCGTTAAAAAAGGTTAGACTTACAAAGTATCTATGTGGATTTTAATATAAGTTAATTGCGTCTAAGAACTCAAAATTTTGACAAAAAGGTCTGACAGCCTTAATGTATCTTTTAACGCAGTAGAGTTTGATGATCCTATTTTGTAAAACAATACATTCGAAACACCATCACTCATTGAAATGTTTAATACTTATTAAATTGAAAAATAATAAATTTAAGATTAGTTATTGTTATTATTATAATTTGGTTCAGTCTGTCTTCGAACCAGGTTCCCGTGAAACAGTCGTTTGTTTAGATTGATCATGAGCCAACCCCGCCACTATAATAAATCATATTTGAAGTGAAGTCAAACATAACGTCAAATATTTAAATTTATTAACGTTTGTGTTGGTGCTATCTTTGTCGTCATTGAACTTATTATAGTACCATAGTAATAAATAATAAGCTCATTCTATTTAGCTTTTATTCGCACCTAAGCTGTTGACTGTATGAAATCAAACAAACAATGAAAGTATTTTATTTATTGCATGCTATGAACCGTATAAATCAAATCAAATCAAATTTTATTCAATCAATCCAAATTAATAAAAATTAGGTAATGATTAGGAGACCAAAGCTAAAAGAAAACAAAATTCTTGTGTCGCAGGCCACCGTTCACAAATTGTTCATTCTAACACAATTTTTAAGTAAATTTATAATTCATGACAAAATTAACATAATGCACAATTTACATGACTCTAGTTAAATAAAAATTGTACTTTTTTTCAATAAATATTTCTTTATTTTGTTTTTAAACAAATGCAAGGAATTTGTAGTCTTTATATCAACAGGAAGTTTCTCCCAGATTCCGGGACCGGTATGTTTTAAACTTTAACCAAGCAGTGTTATTCTTGCAGGTGGTGTATAGAGCAGAGGAGAATGTCGAGTGAACTTTGACTGCACAGCATTTCCGAATTCGAAGAAGTCATTAAAAGATGTTGGTAATTGATAATGTAGGAACTTGAACACAAAGATAGAAACATGATAATTATACAAATTTTTTATGTTTAAAATTTTCAGTTCGGGATAATAACAGCTGACATGACTATACGGATGTAGATTTAACAGAATTTTGATGAAACGATTTTGACATCTGATAATTTGCTTCAAGTGAACTTCAGGGCTGTTTCCCCAGATGATGCTGCAGTATATTAGATGTGGATAGATTAATGAATAATACAAATCTATAATTATTGGTTTATTCAATCTTACTTTAATTTTAATTACGCCTATGGTTTTATTAATTTTTTTCGATAACGAGTCTATATGCATATCCCACGAGAGGTTGTCCTTGATTATCACTCCGAGAAATTTTGTGCTGGATGTACGCGGGATGCTATGGTTATTCATTTTTATATCTAAATTAGGTATTGTGTTAGTCAATATTTTTGGACCGAATAGAATGTAGTTGCATTTAGAAAAATTTACAATTAGTTTATTATTGATGAACCAATTCGAAACATCATCTAAACTTTTGTTAATTATCTCTACATCGTTTGATGGATTGCTAGTTGGGAAGAAAATGTTAGTATCATCTGCATACAGAAGGTGATGAGCGTCAGTAGCCAGATGAAAATCATTCATAAAAATTATAAATAGAAGTGGGCCTAAGATTGATCCTTGCGGGACTCCTGAAGTTATATTTAATTTATTTGAAGATTTATTTTTTATCGACACATACTGATTTCTGTTTTGCGGATAGCTTATGAGCCATGTATGTGCTATTCCTCTTATTCCATAGGAGTATAATTTCTTTATTAATATCTCATGATTAATAACATCAAATGCCTTGGACAGGTCTATGAAAACACCTATGGTTAGGACTTTTTTATTCAGATTAATTAATATGTTTTGTACTAAATGTAGTACTGCTAGTTCAGTTGAATGTTGTGCTCTATATCCATATTGATTTTTATTTAATAAATTATTAATATTCAAGAATGAAGTTATTCTGATAAATATAATTTTTTCCAGTACTTTAGAAATAGGTGAGAGAAGGGATATTGGCCTGTAATTGCTCATTTCCATCTTGGATCCTTTTTTATGAATAAGTATTATCTTGGATGTTTTGAAGCATTTTGGGAATATTCCTTGACTGATGGACAAATTGAATATATGTGTTATTGGATGTAAAATTTCTGAGATGATTTGTTTTAAGAGATAATTACATAATGAGTCATCAGAGGTGCTTTTTTATTGCTAAGATTCTTGACGACTGTTAATACCTCAAGTTCATCAGTGGAGTTTATGTATATGGATTTACAAATGTAGTTGTTTATTTTTGGAGATTCATTGACTGTTTGATTTTCAAGCAAATTTTCAGTAATTTTAATAAAATATTCATTGAAACAGTTACACATTTCTTCTACATTATCGATTATGTTATTGTTGACTTTTATTTTATTGATATCATTCAACTGTTGATTTTTATTCATTATACCATTTATTATCTTCCACTTTTTCTTTGAACAGCTTTTTGCATCATTAAATCTTTGACTAAAGTAATTTTTTTCTTCCTTTCGTTTAAATGATGTAAAATAATTTCTGAATCGTTTATATTTATTTATATTCTCTGTAGTAGGTGTTGAAATTGTTTTTTTATAGAGTTTATTCTGTTTCTTTGATAATTTAATTATTGCATCACTTACCCATGGCTTTTAATTTTTCCGTTTCAGCGGTTGCAATGGGGCGTGAATATCAAGAATTCTATTTAATTGATTATAAAAATTCATGCAACAGGTGTCAATGTTACTCTCATCCGTTATTGAATCCCATTTTTCAGAAGATAGAGCTTCCTTAATTAGGGAAATGTTTCTCTTATTTATGTTCCTTTTCAAAGTCAGAGTATCTGTAGTGACAAATCCTGTATTTTCTACAACTGTATAAATTGGATAATGATCTGAAAAGTTTGATATTATTATTCCATTATAGCATTGTTGATTTAAGTTAAAAATATATTATCTATTAGTGAAATTGAGTTATTAGTTATCCTAGT